TACACCGCATGGAGATACTTCGAAGCAAACTGGGGACCTCGGTCTGATATGACCTTGGCCGGGGCCCCATGATGCTTGAACACATCGCGGATGTACAGGTCTGCCGCACCTTCTGCCGTCAGGGTCTCATGACAGGCTGAGAAGTGGACCTGCTTGGTAAAGCGGTCGGCGGTAACCAGGATCGAGTCGAATCCATCAGACTTTGGCAAGCCGACGATCATGTCGGTCGTGATGATCTGCCACGGGCGCTCGGGGATCTCGTTCGGCTTCAGCGGACCCTGGGGCTTGGCTGGGAATGTCTTGGTACGGTTGCACACGTCGCAGGTGCTTACGTACTCATTGACAAATTTGGACATCCCAGGCCACCAGTAATTCCGCGACATGAGCTCCAGGGTTTTGGCACAACCACCATGACCGGCGATCGGCGAGTCGTGGTGGATCTTGACGATATCCCGCCGGAGCTCCGCGTTCTTTGGGACGTACACACACCCGCGGAACAGCAGAAGCCCTTGTTCGGCATTCCACTCCTCGAAACCCTTTTGCAGCCAGGGTGGCCCGAGGTCCTGCACCTTTTCAAGCGCCTCAGCCACCTCCCGATCTTTCTCCGAGCATTCCCGGATACGCTTCAGAAGCGACTGATCGGCCGTCACCGAGGCATGGCCGCGCCTGGCGGAGGCAATGCAGAAGCGCTCTGGCTTGAGAACCACCTGATCAGTGTTATCGTCCTCATCGCCGATCTGATGGTCTGATCGACGCGACAGGGCATCAGCCTTTCCATTGGACGTCCCGGCCTTGTGCGTGATGCGGAAGTCGAAGCGAGCCAGGAACAGCGACCATCGCGCTTGACGGCGCGTGAGATGCTGGGATGTACGCCAGTACCCAAGGTTACTATGATCGGTCACGATCTCGAACTGATTGGGTAACCCCTCGAGATAGTGGTGCCAATCGTCCAGTGCCTCAATGATCGCGAGCATCTCCTTATCGTAGATCTCGTAGTTCCGCTGCGCCGGGTCCATCGCATGTGATCTGAAGGCAATGGGATGCCATTTGCCGTCATCCTGCTTCTGCATCAACACGCTGCCAGTGGCATACCCCGAGGCGTCAACCTCAATGCGCGTCTCCCGATTAGGGTCGTACAGCGCCAAGACTGGAGTCGTCGCGAAGAGCCGCTTGAGCTCATCGAAGGCGTGCTGCTCTTCCTCGCCCCAATGCCATGGGTCGTTCCCTGTGAGCCGGTCGAGTGGTCGCGAGATCTTAGCGAAGTCCTTAATGAAGCGGCGGTAAAAGTTGGAGAACCCCCGGAACTTCTGAACATCTTTCTTGTTCCGGGGTACCGGCCACTCATTAATTCCTTTTAGCTTCACGGGATCCATTGCTACCTCATCGCCACCGAACACATAGCCGACGTAGTCGACTTTGGGAACGTCCCACTCGCACTTCTCAGGCTTCAGGAACAGATCGTTGTCCTGAAGGCGACGCAGAACCTCGCGTGTGACCTTTTCATGCTCCTCTTTATTGGTGGAGAAGATGAGTATGTCATCAAGGTATACAAGGATCTTGCCGCCGACGATGAGATCATGGAAGATCTCGTTCATCATTGCCTGGAAGGTCGCGGGGGAGTTGGTGAGACCGAAGAACATCACCAGGGGTTCGTACAGCCCCCGGTTAGTCACAAAGGCCGCCTTCCACTCATCACCGGCTTTGATCCGGACGTTATTGTATCCCCATCGGACATCGAACTTCGTGAAGAGCGTAGCGCCGCGGAGCTTATCCACCATTTCGGCGATCAACGGCAAGGGATAACGATTTTTGACCATGATCGCGTTCAATCGGCGGTAGTCCTGTACGGGTCGAAGCGTCCCTTCCTTCTTTTTGATGAAGAAGAAGGGGGACGAAATGGGTGACTTCGACTCCCGTATGTAGCCCTTTGCTAACTGCTCCTTCAGGAACTTGTCAAGTTCCTCCTGTTCATTATTCGACAGGGGGTACACTTTTGAATGGAACGTCGAGTAGCCGGGCACGAGTTCGATCGCGTGATCGTAAGGCTTCCTTTCGGGTAGCCGTTCTGATGCTTCCTTGGAGAAGACATTCAGGAACTCGTGGTACTGTTTAGGTACCGACTCCTCGGCGGTCTTAACGACCTTCTTTCTGATCTCCTCTTCAGCGAACAGCTGGGAATACGTGTGCCCTGCTGCAACGAACAGCTGAGGAGCGCCGGGAAGCGTGATGCCTTGCTCCCAGGCCTCGATCAAATCGGCCTCATCCCATTCTACTTCCGCCGGATCTTCTTCAGGTTCAAAGTCCGGGAGTACCTTACTCTGGCAAGCACCTATGACCGACCGTCTGGACTTCTGCGAGCGTCTGCGTGCCGTGGGCCTGACCCCCGTATCACGCGCAGTCGCTGCTTGCTCCATCCGGCCAGCCTTCCTGGCACTGCACGTTTCAGGGCATCGTGACAATTTGAGGGAGCCCTTCTCCCAATCGATTTCAGGGTTGTGCTCGCGTAGCCAATCCAACCCGACGATCACATCTTCCGGACCTATGTCCGTGACCGTGAACACCGTCTTCTCGACGTGCTCTCCTATATGCATCTGTAGCACTGCTACCTCCGAGATGCTTCCGTCTTTGTTGAGGGTGCCATCAATATTGTATAGCGGAATCGGCTCTTTTAGCTTCCGCGTCTGCACCTTATTCTCCACAACGAATCGCTTGTTGATAAACTTCGTGGTGGCTCCACTGTCCACCATAGCGATCACATCCTTGTGCCGTCTTTTCCCTTGAAGTCTTACTGGAATGTGAAAGTGCTGGGACCCCTGGTCCAACTCGTACACCATTGCAGAAGACAATACATCGTACTTGTTACATGATACTCGCAGCCCGACGCGTGCGGCACGAAGCGTGGACCGGATCAAAAACCCTCCTCCTTCATCGCCCGATAGTGCTCAAGCTCCTCGCGCATCGACTTCACCTGTGCCATTAAGTCCGCCAGCTCCGATTGCTCGGATTTCGCTGAAGCGGCACTTATACTTGCCGAGGGTGATGTCGTGACGGGGGCGCTTGTCGCCGCCTGGGTGGATCCCGAGGCAACCGTAGCCCGCGCGTCGGCGCGTTTTGTGTAAGGCTTGTCCTTACAATTGGGGCACTCGAAGCGTCGGTACCCTTGCTTCCCACAGCTGAAGCATGTGCCGGGGAAGTTGCCTTTTCCGACGGCCGCATTGATGCTGGCCGAAGCTGCGTGCGTCGAGGGTGCACCACCACGTGCCCCACCGCGTCCTCGACCTCGGGCCGAGAAGAAGTTATTGAGCTCGGGCCGACGGGCCCGGCTAATGTCGAGGATCTGCTCGACCTCAGTGGCACGCTTGTCAGCGTCTTGCCACGTGGTGAAAGTCTCAAGCTCGATCTTTCGGTAGACGCGGGAGGGGATGCCGCTCAGGTACTTGTCGCATAGCTCCAGGTCCCCATACCCAGAGCGGTCCGCCGGACCCTTGAACAGCGCGGAGAATTCCGCAGCGGTGCGTTTTTCACGGACCGACTTGTCCGCGCAGAGCTTCGCCAGCTCTACTTGTGCTGCCGCCTTGTCGTCGAGATTTCCGAAGCGGGCCTTGAAGGCGGCGGCAAAGGCCGCTTCGTTTGCGAATGGGGTCGTAGCCCCTTGCACACCTATCTGCACCGATACGAGCTGGGCAAAGTAGGGGGTTGCCCAGGCGCGGGCATCACCGTCGAGCAGGCTCAGCGCAACCTGTACTTTGAGCTCGATGGTGGTCAACAACGTGTTGACCATCCAGTAGATGCGCAGCTGCGACAGGAACCTGTCGCAATCGATAACGGTTTTACCATCGTATCGGAGTGGGAGGAGGAGCTTTAACGTCTCCTTGTCGAGGGCGGCTGCGGGGGACGACATTATCGGCGTCGGGGGGGACGGAGGACGTTGCGGGGGCGGAGGCGGCTGTGGTGGCCTTCCGCTGGCCGAACTTCGAGAGGAGTGAGTGCTCGAGCGGCCTCTCGGCAGAGTCGGCGGTGAAGGCGCCGGAGGAAGTTCGGCGGGGGGGTTACGTACGTCAGGGACTGCTGACGCGGGGGCGAGCGCTGTCGGCGAGGCGGGCCGAGCAAGATCCGCGGACTCAGGCTCCGAGATTCCTTCTTCACTATCACCCTCCTCAGGCTCAGGCTCTGGCACAGGGTCTGGAGGGAGATCTCCTCGCGCTTGATCGGCGACAGTTTGAGGGAGGCGGGAGGTAGGGGAGACAGGGCGAGAGTGCCGCGAGGCCGATCGAGATGCGAGAGTGCTTCGGGGTCCGAGCGGGTGTTGCAGACTAGCTTACACCTACGGCGCCCGAGATGACACTAGTATGCAGCAGGAACCTAGTCCACGTGTCCGTTTAAGGACAAGCACCGCCCACTGAAGTGCAGGTGCTGAAAGGTTTGTTCCCTGAGTGTTGGCAATGTAATGTAGGCTATCTACGTATCGTATGGTATCGTAAGGGTGCGCACCACCCGACCTATGGGAAAGGAAAGTGTGAGTGTGTGGGTTCTGAGAGAACACCGGTCGCTTGGGAGAGTTTCGACCTAATGTCGCGACTTGAGGTCAAGCGACAGGGAAATATCTAGAAGCGAGGGGTGTCCGACTGGTTCTCACCGAAGCGATGGTGAGCGAGGCTCAAACCTAAGGCTAGGGACAAGTAAGTTAGCATTAGAAAGGTAAGTAAGTACATGAGCTTACTGACCTAGGGACAAGAGGTCGAAACTGAGGTCCCTAGGGCAGCAGAGGCCGGCTTATATACATGGGGAGATAAGGGCAGGCTGTGCGCGCTGGTCTGTGCGCAGCTGGTCTGTGCGCAGCATGCCGACGCGGCCCCGGGGGCCGGTGAGTCAGAGTGGCTGCGTCAGCGGGGCCCGAGCTGTGCCGTGCACTGCCGTCCTATCTAATCTAATCGTACAGTAGATAACAACGCGTCCATATCAGGCAGGTAGTACAGAGGTCGCGGGTTCGAGCCCGCGGAAAGGAAAAAATCAAAAAACAGCTAGACGCCGTACCAACTCGTGA